CCTGCTCAGACGCAAAACGGACTGCAAAATTAGGACGCAATGCAATACAAAGGAGGCCATCCCTGGACAGACGTGATTTACCCTGGCGTGTGGACCGTAGGAACGGACTCTGCCGGAAAGCGTTGCGCTGCGAAGAGGAAAACTCTCTCGGGGCCCGTGACGGTCCGCCCCGCATCCCTGGCTGCCCGAGGACAAGCGGCGACGCGGTTATGCGCGTGCGAGCAAAACCTGGGCGAGACCACACCCCGGAGCCGAGCCTAGGCGCAGAAGAAGTAGGCGCCTTACTTGGAAGTAAGCCCAGCTGCAGTCAATGGAGTGTACGTAAATAAATGCGCTGAAGCCACCGTGTTGGATCCAAACCAGCTTTTCTGCAGGCTTAAAAGCAGGGGGGGGGAGGGGATTCCCTCTCTGACCAACCCCAAAGGTTACGCCGGGGACCGTGGGACCCGCACAGGCAACAGCCAGAGGAGAAACACCCAGAGACTGAGACACACACACAGGTTGGATCCAACCCGCCAGCCGGATTTGCCCCCGTTTCAGACTTCTCCTTCCTCCCTGTGTGCCGTTCGCCACCCCCTTATTGTGCCCAAATAAATAACCCTTCCGACCCCGGCGAGCAGAACCGCGTGTTGCCCTCTCCCCACTCCCACCGGTAGCTAAGACAAAAGCGGACCACGGCTGATTTAAAGCGCCCCCCCTCCCTTTGCATGAGAGCGCTGGGGGGGTTTTCCCCCCCGCCTTCCCCTTCCCCTCCTTTGAGCCATATTCAGATGGGAAAAGTCCCGCTTGCCAATTGCCATAGAAATCTTAACGCGCCGTGAAGATTGTCCAAGCGCCGAGCCTTCCGCTCTGGCCCAAATTACCTTTGAAGTGGCGCAAGTGGTCAATTTCAGCTCTATGGGGCGGCGGCAGGAGGGACGCGGCGCGGGAAGAAGTCGCGGACGCCGAGGGGGCAAAATCGCGTTCGGAGCGCCTGCATTGTCCGGCCATCTTTTATCTTTGATATATTTCCCATGAATGATTCATGTCTTAGGGGACTGGGGGGGGGGGGCTTTGTGCCGCACTTCTTTTTACCAAGGAACTCCATTAGAGAGCGATGTTCCCCCCAACACACACAAACCCGAGTTCTCACTTAAGAGAGGGGTAGTGTTTTTTGGAGGGAGGGGAGGAAGGGGGCTTATTCTTCAGCCACTCCCTACAAGTCTCTGCAACCTGTTTTGCTGATAAACCTGAAACCGAGCACCCTCGACCACCCCCTTTTGGAAGGGGGTGGTGGAGGGAGAAGACGGCGTTGACATTTGGATCAAAGGCTTTCAACGAAAACTCGCAAACCAAACAAACCAAGCAGGGCTTAAGATACAGATTTAGGATAAAACAGGGGTTACCACGTTTTGAAGAGCAAGAAAGAGGACATATTTCCCAGACTCACTGCTTCAAAAGCAGTGGCCACTGTGAGAAATCTCATTTTAAAGGCCCCTGCTATTTAAGCTGTGATAATTGCTACTAACTAGGAACATTCCTCACCTTCCAACCTCCCCCCCAAAAAGCACTGTCATCTGTTTTTTAAAAAGGTCCTGAAAGAGGATGGAGGAGGAGAAGAAGATGACACCTGGTATCCCTAGGAAAGGGGGATGTGCCTTCAACAGATCCTTATTGGGGGAGGGGGAGGATGTCTTCTGGAGCCCCTTCCCACTTAAATGGCGTTGGTATAATGTTTCATATAATGTAATGACATTGATTTTACAGCAGTCGGTAAACAAAAGGATTCTCCCGTTCTCTTCTGCACAGGCTCCAAGAGTCCAGGGTCTCCAGGCAGAGGCCTACTACACCCCTTGGAAAGGAAGTGCTTCTGCCTTCGCTCCCTGGTCCTTCCCAGGAATTATTTCTACCTATGGAGAAAGTGCCTAATTAGGAAGGTGGGGGGGGGGGAGAGGCTCATGACAAATCTTAAACAATCCCAGCTGTGAATACGGCCTTAGAAAGATACTGGAACTACAAACTATGTCTGTATCTCTGTACATGCATATATGATAAACAGTCTTCTATTTTGATGAGGAAGTTTCCCCTTCTTTATGCTCTGTCGACCAGATACGATTAAATAAAGACTTCTCATATCCTGACTAGGAAGTTTTCCTCTTGAGTATGATCTGAGGGGACAATACAGGCAGGAATTGTAGCCAATTCCCCCTCTCGACCTCTAAGCAGATCTCAAAAGAGAAGGGCTAAATAAACCCGTTCTATGTTTTTTTTTTCCCTACAAGTATATTTGAGGGGGGATTGGGAAGATTATGAACCATTTGAAGTGCCAAATGCCAAACTTTGTTGTTTGAATTTCTCCCAGCACAAGAAATCACAAGTAAATGTATTAAGAAGTATATTTTTATTTTACTGTAACCACTCTTGCTTTCTCGTGACCAGGTTTACAGTTGTGAACGAGGTATTGTATGTTGCAAAAATCATGGGGGGGGGGAGAATTGTGTCATCTTTAGGACACAGCAGACAGAGAGTGAACTACTTGTAGGAGCCCCCCCCCCCCAATCCACTTTCCTTAGAAGCAAAGTCCTATTAAAACTAAGCAGTTGCTTCCAAGGAAATATATTTTCTTGAAGGTATTCGTCTTATACCGAGCTGCAGTAATGAACAGTGCAATCTATTTTGTGGGCAGGGGGAAGCAAACTCATAAATTAAACAGCTCTTCAAAAACCCACAAGAAACATTTCTAAATTAAAAGATCATTAGACAATAAATTATCCCTTAGAAGTCCATGTTTCACTTGTTTTCCCCTTTTCTGAATGGATTATGAAAAAAATAAAGGAATGCAAATCAGACTTTTTAGAAAAAGTGATGTGTATTCAAGTTCTCATGTATATATTTATAGATTATAGATATTCAACGGAGTGTCCTTTTCTCTCTGTTCATATGACTATATAATCAGCATATAAATCCTTCCAGATGGGACAGCACCATGCACTGACTGTACTAAGAAACAAATATTGTCTAGAAACTATATAGAATCAGCAACACACTGCACAGAAGACATGCAGGAAGGGCCCCTGTTCACATTACATTGTTCATTCAAGTAACTTGAGAGATATGACTTTTACCCCTCCCCCTCCCCAACAACCACAGAAGCATAGACAACCTATCACCCCAATTATTAATATTCTTCTTTGGCGTGTCCTGTACTCTTCCAAATTAAAAAGAAAGAAAGCAAGGGGAAAAAACAGGCGACATAAAAAATAAATTAATTCAACTGTACAAAATAAATCACTTTCACATACAGGTTTGTAACAATGACAAGACTACGGATCACAGCACATAAAACGCACACAACAAAAATACCCCCACGCGTTCCCATGAGTCTTGGGAATGGGCAGGTGAATGGGTCGGTCCTCAGTGGTCTCTGAGGGTAAATTAGTGCTCTTTAGATTATCTGTAGGGTACTTATGATGAATCAGCATTTTGCATGTGAAGGGTGTCCTACCAACCGCATCAGAAACTGTCAGCATCCCATGACCTTCCCCTTCAACAGCTTGGCAGCTGTGTCAAAGGTAACCCCGCACAGCGTCTCCCCCACCCTCCATGTACATATTTAATCACAATTTGCTTTCCTTAGAACCACAGTTCACTTTGATAGTTGGGTATGGTGCCTAGAAAACAGGGTTTCTGATATTAAAGTACATAAACCATTGGCGGGGGGGAGGCTCACACCCTTACGTTCACATTAGGGTATAAACCCAGTGCAGTAAAAAAAATATTTTATAGAACCACTCTGTCATTCTAGCCTCGTAACTCTTTCAACAAGGAAACTTTGACATAACAGCTGTGAAGTCCACAGTACTTTTGACCGACCAATACAGGCCAAGCTCCAGTCCCAAACATGCTTACTCAAAAACAAATAAATGTGTTTAGACCCAAGGCTTCTGTTATAAGCAGCATAAGAAGACAGACCATCTAATGTAGCCAACCCTAGCTGTCCCAATTTGCTTCCAAGTAAATTCTACTGTAAAACCAAGGCATAGCTATTTTTAGACAAGATACCATTAATGCGTTTTGTTTTTAAAACCACAGGATCAGTGTGGCCACATTATCAGCTTTTTAAAAAAAGTTGTTTCCTTTCAGAATTATAATAAGGGAAGAAGAATTATAATAAGGGAAGAAAATCATTTTTTAAAAAAAATGAGAAGTATACAGACTTGGAAGTGATTTATTTCTGAGTAAACATGTTGAGGCTGAAGGGGGCCCCCAAAGAAGAAACTCTGACGCGAATATTCCATACTGTTTTCAAAATCCATCATAGGCTAAGATCTGAAAAATGTCATTTACTTGGAAACTAGTTTCACTTCTGACAATGGACCAAAATACCACCGTTGGGATCTGTAAAACTATGATAATTTTGCCATGGACTTTAGTGGGCTACCGCCCACAGCCCCAGGAATACCTTCAGGGTTTTGGTGTTTTGTTTTGTTTTTTGGAGACACTGGGTGTCATCTGAACCATTATGGTTTCAAAGGCAGTAAACTGTGCACATCAACATCTAGGGTCCAGATTTTGATGCAAGATATGAACCAGAAATTCAGCAGATGGGGGGAGGGAAGCAATGTACTTTTTGGCAAAGGGATGCAAGATGGGTAGGCTTGCGCCTGGTATAGAGAAAGCCTATCAGCTACCAAGTTACATTCATAAACAACCACCTTCCTTCCCAGTTTCATTTTGGGGAAACTACTGCATGGGAGTTGCCAGCGCATGCAATGCATCAAACAATTCCCCCAACACCAAAGATGCAGGTTGGATCACTGTTACAAGTCCAGCTTTGTGGATTAATTTTTCAAAAGATTCTTCCTTTTAATTAAAAAGAAAAGACAAGTCCAATGTCTTAATTAAATTAATTACACATACAAACACCATAGGGTTTCATATACGGAATAAATAGCCGAGTTCACCAAGGTGGCACAAGTGTGCCACCTCTCTCTCTCTCTCTCTCTCTCTCTTTCTCAATTTTAATGAATAGTTCTGGCCTCAGAGTTCCTATAAATCTCCTCTTCCTCCTCCTCCTCTTCCTCCTCTGAAGATGTGCCGTTGCTCGATGGCGTGTGGAGGTGGTTGGGTGCCCCACTGGCCTGGCAGACGTACCATTCGTTGAGGTTGGTCACCTGAGGAGAAAGATTGGCAGGACGGCCCCTGCCAGAGTCCAGGAGAGGGGAGAGAGGGTCCCCCAACGGTGTCCCTGCAGGGTGCAGGCCGTGAGGCCCCAGGGGTGGGGAAGGTGGGGGGGACTTGCAGTGGATCTTCATGTGCTTGCGCAAGGAGCTCGGGTGGGTGTAGGATTTGTCGCAACCTCTGACTTTGCAGAAATATGGCTTGTCACTGGTATGAACGTGGGAGTGTTTTTTCCGGTCACTGCTGTTTGCAAATTTCCGGTCGCAGCCATCAAACTCGCATTTAAAAGGCTTCTCTCCTGAAAGAGAAAACAAAAATCTATAATATGCCTTCTCGAAAGGGAAGAAGAAATCTAGTGTCTCTGTGTTTTTCTTACACTGCAAACAAAAACAAAATTAGGCAGCAACAGACAGAAGGGTCTAGCTATGCCTTAGAAAAAAATACCCAGTAGAGAGATTTCTACTTGGGGTTCAGCGCTTCCTTCTTCTAACATAGTCCTGTTTCCCAGAGGATTTTATTTTTCAAAATTTGGCTGTGGAAATACAGTGTGAGAATGGTTAGGTTTAAATTAATCTTTAGCATGCTTCTTCTTCTTCGATATTTTGTGAATCCCAACCTGTAGGCCAGAATTTCAGATAAACACCCCCAGGACAATGGAGATGTCTTCCCTTATTCCATGCCCAGATTTCTCTTCCAAATGAAAATTTTAAGGGATGGATTAAGGGGAGAGGGAGAGAAAGGAGGCTTACACAGCAATACATGGCAATGGCTTTTGTCTCTGGACAAACCAATATTGGCCTAATCCCTTCCTGGTGGCTTGCTGGGGAAGAGTCCTCCTCTTGTCAAAAATGAAAGCCAACACCTGTTTAAACACATGGCTCTTCTCTCTTTTTTGTTTGTTTGCATTTTTACAACCTCAGCAGACCACCCTCTGGGGGAGGGGGCTCCTGTCTCCACTTTAAAAAGCAAGCCCATCCTACCCCATTCGGGAGGCACCGGAATAAAAACAACTGAGAAGGAGCCCCAATCTCGTCACCTGAGTCTGGTTTGGACCTGGTTTGGACCTGTCTTTCGACAGGTTTAGTGAGAGTTTAACAGCACAAATGGGGGGGGGGAGCAGCATTCCCCTCTTTACCTATAAACCCGCAATACTAGGGCTTGATAAGAATTTCTCCGGCTTTTTAAGCGGGAAAGGTTTTTTGTTGCTAGGACACAGGAGCAGGAAGTGGGGTACCGCCTTGGAAAAGGTATGCAATTTTGTTTTAAAAATATACAGAAGTGTATTTTGAAGGATGCATTCAGCATTAGTTGCAGTCACACAGCGATCCCCTTATTCGTAAATATATATATATTTTACTCCAAGCGGTAGCCCAGGTCCATACCGGCGGCATGCGTTTGGATGACTACACCAAGCAAATCTACTCGGAAGTATAAACCCCAAGGCTTACTCCCATACACGGGTGTACCGAATCACCTTCTCGCTCCCGCCAATCGCGAGCCCAGCCTTGGAGGATTTTTCCGTGGAGGGAAGGGCGCGATTTCACCATAGACTGCAGCCGTTGCCAGAGAAGAAGCGGCAAGGAAGCATTTCCTAGCACGTGTCGGTCCCCAAACTCCGGAGCCTCTGGACGCCAGAACCAGCGTTCCCTCTAAGCTGAGTCAGTGTGAGCGAGCTCACAGTTTTTTAGCCTCTGGCTCACACATTTTTTGTCTTCGCTCAGGTAGGGTGGCTCCAGAGCAAACTAATTTACACAGCAGCCAAATTGCTCCCTCGTCACTTTAATGCCAGTAGCTCACGAAGTGGAATTTTTGCTCCCAAGACTTCCACAGCTAAGAGGGAGTATTGGCTAGAACCGGTTTGTTAGCCGCCTCCGGGTAGAAATAGACACCGTCCCCTGCAAGGATACCGGCTCCGGCCAAAGCTACATTCCGTGAAGCAACGGAGATGGCGAAATAGATCAAGAGAAACCTCCAGCCAAGGGCCTGCCAAAGGTGCCCGAAGGCTGCGGTCAGGCACACCGAATAATCCACTTTCAGTGCATTTTCCAACTGGATTTTACTGTGTGAATAGGATAGTGGACTGAAAGTGGATTATTCCGTGTGTGTGACCGCAGCCCGAGTGATCTGAGCGGGAGGCTTCGGGACAGAGTTGCCCTTTCCGCCGAGGGAAGGCCGGCGCTTCGCGAAGGATGCACGACAAATGTCGGGTTCCCACGTGCTGTGCTGTCCTGCCTCTCCCAGATACACTCGGTTTCCCTACCGATGAAAACCAGCCTTGGGAAGGCGTCTTTTGAGGGCAGCCTCAGTGACGACGGGCGGATATCACCAAGCGAAAGGCTCCCAACTCCCCTGGCGCTTCTGACCCGGAGGGGAGCTCTTCTCAGAGCCTCCCCATTTGGCCCCGATCCCCGCCGCCCCCGGGAGATGCAGCAGGCGCCGGCGGCGGAAGGTGTTCCGGAGCCAAAGGGCGCGGGAAATCCCCTCCCCGTCGAGCAAAGCCAGAGTGTGGCCGGCCAATCCGCAAGGCGGGCTCTGCCGTAGGCCTGCTCGGGCCTTCCCAAGGCCGGCGGCTCAGAAAAGCATGGCCGTCCTCCGGGCGAGACATGAACGAAGGGACGGCTTTCGGTTGCTTCGGTGGATTCGGCCGAGACGACTTTTGCACGCCGGTTCTCATTCGCTCTCGGGCCAGAAGCTCGCAAAGAGACGGGGAACGTCAAAACCTTTGGCTTTGCGCTTCTTCTTCTTCTTCTTTAAAATTCAACAGGGCAACCCTTGGCAAGCTTACTCAGAAGTAAGTCCCGCTTCAGTCCGAGGCGCCTACTCCTAGGTAAGGGTGGCTAGGATTGCGGCCACCTCGGTCCAGTTCTCAAGCCGCCTACTCTGAAGTAAATCCCATCGAGTTCCGCGGGACTGGCTCCGTCCCAAGCGCGGCCAGGCCCGTGGCCTCAGGCGCCGGGTCCCTTCCCGTCCATCTGCACAGACGGGAGCACTCGGCGCAGCTGGCTAGCCGGTGGGAGAAGTTTTCCCCGGTGCCGTCGGCTGAGAGCAGACCGGCGCCTGGGGCTCCTTGGCTCCTGGGCCTGTGGATCTGTCCCCTCCCCCCTCCCGACTGCTTCTCTGCCGGAGCCTCGGGGGTCGTGAGAGGTCCCTGAGAAGGGAAGGAGTCCCGCCGGGGCTCGGATCTGTGGCACTTCCCTGCCCAGGGGCAGAAAGGCAGCGGCAAAAAGTGCCCAACCAGCTCCGGCCTAGAAACGGGGGGGGCGCTCTTCTGAGTGAGGCTGATCCGGGGCGGGGGAGGCTGTTGGCCCAGAACGTCCGCCCAACACTTCGAGGCACCGGAGAGGGGCGGCCGACCCCAACCAATGTCCCCCCCCACTACTCCGGACCCAAAGAGTCTGTAGGCCGATAATTCCCTTCCAAGGTCCAGAAAAAAGGGCCACTGCTCAACTGGAAGCTGGACAAAGACGGCCTGGGGGGGGGGGCACTGCAAGGCGGGAAGGCCTCCCAAGCCAGAGTTCGGCCGATGGTGGGAAAGAAAGGCCAACTGAGCTCTGGAGGGCCCCCCCCCACCTCTCCGGCCAGTTTACGTCGGGCAGGGCCACCTGCCCCCGGTGTGGCTCTCTTCGGCCGCGGGGGCGACCCAGCTTTCCCGAAGGGCCTGGAGCAAACGCGCTTCCCCCTCCGTCTCCCGTCTCTGGGGGGGGGGCGCACCCGAGTGCTGCACCCGCAGATGGGTTTGGTCCGACGGATCCCGCAGCCCCCCCGGGGAGGGGGAATCGACCCTTTCCGCCAGGAACCATTTGCTCTGGCGTTTGAACTGCACCTCGACCCGTTCCCCCCCTCTCTTTCCCCCCACCTCGTAACCAAACGCCATAAATCACGAAAAACAATTAAGCGAAGCCCCCTCCGCCCCCTCCTTTTAAGTAGCCTCCGGCGGATAATATCCGTTCACACGGCCACGATAAATCCCAACTGCCTTTTAAGCGAAGCCAAAAGGCCAGCCGCAAATCAAATGAGAGGTGCTAAAAAAAAAGAAAGAAAAGACACAAGGCCATACGCAAGACACCGAGGCCAGGGCCGATGGGACCTCGAGCTCCGTCCTTCACACGCCAAGAAACACACCCGTGTCGGTCCGGTAACCGCTGCGGTGGAAAACGCGCAGCAGAAGTTTCCCTTTTCAAGCAACGCGCGATTTGGCGCCGAGAGACACCATGGCACCAGCTCCCCCCCCCCCCCCGCTCTCCCGGCCACCGACG